TAATACGTAATAAACGATATACTTTAGAAAAATATTTTTTCTTGTGTTTTTCTTAGCAATATACTGAGACCCCAGCAGGAAACGACGTTCTATGCAAGTCCAGGGAGCAAAGCCGTCCTCGGGATTAGTGCCTATGTGATGAATCTATCGCCTTCCCTTACGAAAATCAACACTATTTTAACCCTATTTTATCCCTATTTTACTTTCTATTTTATTCCTATAGAAAAGCTATTTTATTTTTAACCCTATCATATTGCTATCACATATACAAATCCTATATTAAACCTATTAGAACTTTGTTTTAATTGTATTTTATGGCTATTATAAATAGGTTTTTTTGAAACAAAAAATAGCCTATTTTAAATAGATTTTATGTTTCTGAATCGGTGAATCACAGATTAAAATAGGTTTAAAATAGGATAAAATATATTTAAAATAGAGTGCAAAATAGAAATAAAATAATAAAGTAAAGTGAAATATTGGTAGTAAAATAGATTTTAAATATACATAAAATAGGTAAAAAATAGTCGAAAATACATATAAAATAGTGGATCAACTGCAGTATATTAACTAAAAATAGTAATAAAATTACTGCAAAAATAGTAATTAAATAGTTTAAAAATATGAATATAATACTGATAAAATAGTAATAAAATAGTAGAATTTAAAATAGTGATAAAATAGCGAACAAAATTGTAAAAAAATAGTTCAAAATTCTTATAAAATAGTATAAAAATAGTAATAAAATTGTAATAAAATAGTCGAGAGTCATAACAGTTCTAAAATGATTAATAAAATAGTTATAAAATAGTCAGAAAGTAGTAATAAAATAGTTATAAAATAGCAATAAAAGAATAGTAAAATAGTCATAAAATAGCAATAAAATAGTCAGAATGTAGCAATAAAATAGTTATAGAATTATCTTGAAGGTGTTAGTTACCACAGCATTATTAGTCGAGGTGGTAAGAGTGGTGACATGTACAATGAATTTATAGTGAAATAATTTATGCGTGCATGAAATTTAACACCATAGATATGATGTAGCAAATAACTAACTGAGCTAACATACAAACCAGGTTGTCATCACCAACTCATAATAATGTTAGCAGACAATGCCGCGCAAAGTTCAAATTGCGCCAAAATTGGTCTGAAGAAGAGGGCATTCTGCTTGACAATCGTGTGTATGGATTCAGGATGGAGATCAAGATCGAACAAACTGGCAATATTTTGATGGCTGCTTATTAAAGAATAAAGATTAAAGATTAATGCGAAATATTTTCAATCAGTAAGGTTAGGTAAAAGTCAAAAGGCTATATAGCCTATTGGTATTGCAGCACGCAATCAGTTATTATTTCTTTAGTATACAGTATGCTAGATACCACATCTTTCAAGCAGGCTATCACAACCGCGAGTTGATTGTACTATATTCGTTATTTAATATACTCATTTCTATATTTTGATACAAGGTAGCACAAGACAAATAATATTTATTTACATATAGCCTATATATACCGGGTGGCGCAAAAAAAGTTCAGGCGTTTGATCTACCATAGCAAAAAAACTGTAAGAGCTATACATCGCTCAAATAAATGTAGCTGTATTCATGAAAGGCTAACTTAAATTTTGATAGGTTATACATGAGATATCACGAAATATTGACTGAGATATCAGCGTTTAAATTACACTTGCGTAAGCATTTTCAAAAGAATCGAAAATTAGTCTAAAATGGCCCATTGAACTAAATTTGATATCATTCTCATTAGACATTACGCTGGGCATCGCCAGATTATTTCCCGGGCGAGCTAGTGATGAGTAAACGCGGAGATGAGCCGTACCCCTGGCTTTCAGATTTGACAATATCCATTTTTTGTTGCTATACCTATAGAGTATAGTTGAAATATCAAATTGGGAGTATGCCACATCGACAGCGCTAGGATTTGGAATAATATCTAGAAGACTTTTAGTGAAAACTCTTGTGTCAGAAAGATGTCCCATCTTTTGCTGACAGGTTATGAAGATGTCCCATCTTTTCTTAACCAGTGGAAGCTTAAAAGGAGTCTTATATTATTCTTTACATCAGGCTAAGTTAGAGTAAGGCGATGCAGCTTGCGCTATAGGTTTTGGAATAATATCTAAAATACTTTTAGTGAAAACTTGTGTGTCAGAAAGATGTCCCATCTTTTGCTGACAGGTTATGAAGATGTCCCATCTTTTCTTAACCAGTGGAAGCTTAAAAGGAGTCTTATATTATTCTTTACATCAGGTCTAAGTTAGAGTAAGGCGATGCAGCTTGCGCTATAGGTTTTGGAATAATATCTAGAATACTTTTAGTGAAAACTCTTGTGTCAGAAAGATGTCCCATCTTTTGCTGACAGGTTATGAAGATGTCCCATCTTTTCTTAACCAGCGGAAGCTTAAAAGGAGTCTATAATATTATTCTTTACACCACGCTAAGTTAGAGTAAAGCGGCGCATGCAGCGATAGCGCTAGGTTTTGGAATAATATCCAGAATACTTTTAGTGAAAACTCTTGTGTCAGAAAGATGACCCATCTTTAGCTGACAGGTTATGAAGATGTCCCATCTTTTCTTAACCAGTGGAAGCTTAAAAGGATTCTTATATTATTCTTTACATCAGGCTAAGTTAGAGTAAGGCGATGCAGCTTGCGCTATAGGTTTTGGAATAATATCTAGAATACTTTAGTGAAAACTCTTGTGTCAGAAAGATGTCCCATCTTTTGCTGACAGGTTATGAAGATGTCCCATCTTTTCTTAACCAGTGGAAGCTTAAAAGGAGTCTTATATTATTCTTTACATCACGCTAAGTTAGAGTAAAACGGTGCATGGCTGCATGCAGCGATAGCGCTAGGTTTGGGAATAATATCTAGAATACTTTTAGTGGAAAATCTTGTGTCAGAAAGATGTCCCATCTTTTGCTGTTAAGTTATGAAGATGTCCCATCTTTTCTTAACCAGTGGAAGCTTAAAAGGAGTCTTATATTATTCTTTGCCTCACAACGCAGGCGCGGGCGTAGATTCCGTAGATTAGCTATAAGACAATGGTGTCAATGCAGCTATTGTTTTTGGAATAATATATACATTTGATACATACGTTGGTGAAAACGTTTGTACCAGATTGATGTGCGCACTAGGGCCTATAGGGAAAGGCGGTATAATTATATAACTTTATAAGTCAGTTTCTTTATTATTAGCCATAGAAAACTTACGCCTTTGAAGCCGGACTCTTTATACTGCCAAGATCTAAAACGGCAAATTTTTTCCGCGGTCTTGACATGGAATTATCGTGCTATTCTCTAAGATACCAAGAACGTTTTGTTTTACAACACACAAGTCTTAATATTATTACATATTATACGCAGCCTTATTACACATTGTACGCTATATAGTATAGCCTGGCCCTAGGTGACTTGTCAACAGTCAGCATTGTGACATATTTGTACACTTTTATTTTAATGCATAACAGATAATTAACTTATTACTTGCTTGGTTTCACACTGCGTCTAAGCAACTGAACCTGGATTGATGACATCTTATAGCGGTAATTAATAATGCGATTAGCTGAAGTTGCAAACTCAGTTTGCAGATCCCGTTGTTTTTCAAAACGTGCGGGTCGTCATGTACGTACACTTTACCCGTAATTCATACTTTTTAATCGTTGTATCTCATATTTTTGGGTTAGAATTTGTATCTATAAGGGGTCATGGGTGACGTCGTGAATAATTATCATAATCGACAAAGCAACTTTATTATTTAATATATATTAATTACGTCATCAATGTAAACTATAAGGTTTATTGTAGGTTTTGGTTAAGTCTTCGGATCCTAAGGTTTCCAGGTCTTTGGGTTTCTAGGTCTCTGGGTTTCTAGGTCCCTGGGTTTCTAGGTATTTATGTTTCTAGGTCTTTAGGTTTCTAGGTCTTTGGGTTTCTAGGTCTCTGGGTTTCTAGATCTTTGGGTTTCTAGGTCTTTGGGTTTCTAGGTCTCTGGGTTTCTAAAATAATGAAACTTTCTTCATGCACTAATGCCGTTGGATGAATATTTAAGTTGTTCGGAAAAAATCCTTAGATTTTTTCTCTTCCTTAGATTTTCCTTTTCGACACTAGAATTTTCTTAGAAAATGGAAGCACTTACCATAGATATAGGAGATCTAGATTGCTAACGCATACCCAGCGCAGGCGGGGCCTACATGATAAATCCAAGATGGCAGTACAACAGGGCAAAAGACTATAAATTCTATTACGAAAATCAGGATTTTTGCATTTTTTGCCGTCGCATTGTTTTGAAACTTATTCGGTCAAATTTTATGGTAAAGAGAAACTTACCGCGAAGATTTTGAGCATATATATGATTGAATTGGATGAAAACTCGCAAAATTATCCATCGAGAAAAGTTCGTGTATAGTACTGATATAGTACTATATATGTAACTTGTACAGTTTCGCTTTAATTTTTGCTCACTATTTGCATAAAAAGCAAATTATAACAGACCATAGATGATAGACCCTCATCCAGTGCTCTCATCAGTTTACTTCTCTAACAAGCAAGGGGGGGGGGGTACATAACAGTTCATTTTTCATAATTATGAGGACAGAGCAGATGATGATGAGAGATGCAAGTATAAAACACCATTCACAATGCTAGATGTTAACATAGCACAGTATTTCTGGCAATAAAACGCTCCAACTGACCAACTGACCATTTCACACGAACTTTGATTGCTGGATAATTTTGCGATTTTTCATCCAATTCAATCATATATATGCTCAAAATCTTCGCGGTAAGTTTCTCGTTACCATGAATTTGACCGAATAAGTTTCGAAACAATGTGACGGCAAAAAATGCAAAAATCCTGATTTTCGTAATAGAATCTATAGTCTTTTTGCCCTGTTGTACCGCCATCTTGGATTTATCATGTAGGCCCCGCCTGCGCTAGGTATGCGTTAGCAATCTAGATCTCCTATATCGATGTGTGGAACTATACAACCAAAGAAGAACCGTGTTACCACTAGTCATAGGGGCTTGGGGCCTAATCAGTATGCTAATATATTTGGTGATGTGCATGTCATGGAATTATAACCGAAAGTGAAAGGCCCCGCCAAACATTTATAGCGTAATACGTTACAGCTCGACTTTGTCGAAGGAAGGTGTACGGCTTTATCAAGGTAAATGTATGGGTAACTGAATACTGTGAATATATCAGTCAATAAAATACTCAGATAGATAGACAGATAACTTTATTTAACACGCTAACACCAACACTCAACAGCTAAAGCTGATTTCCACGAAGGGCGTGTGAAGAAGAAGCATACAGCAAATAGAAAAAGATTTTAAAAAAGCTACTTACAAAATCTAAGATATAGTATAAAAACATTATATTAAGACCTACACTTTTTAAAAAATGATTTTGGACACGAATTTGCGGAGAATATTATTTATATGTTGAAAACCCCCAGAATATCAGTGACTTGAATAAAACGGCCTAACTAAGGCTATGTTTACACTTGCCGCCATAATCTGATAGCTTTTTGTAGCGACGTAAAAAACACCGTATGAATGGTCTGTACTGTTTTGCGGGATGTGACTAAAATTGAAGTGGGATTCGGGAGGTTAAGAGAAATATTGGTCGTGAAGCGGGATTTTATTCCATCGCGAGAAGTGAAAAAAACGTTAGCGGGATAAATCAACAATGTTGATTGTGCATGCATGAATGTGCTTATTGTTTTCAAGGATGACATCGAACATTTGTCCCCCATCAACCCTCCATTTAGATGTATGATCGAGGCTTTCATACTGATAAAAGTCGCGATTTAAAGTAATTTATTATTTTAAACTTTGTTGTGTTGTAATCTAGTGTATTCAAATTGTATTCAGCTATGTCGTCAACAAGTTCTTCGAATACTCGGTTATCCGTTGTCTACATCTAAATCATAATACGTTGAACAGTGTTAGAAAAAAAGTTGGGAGCGGGAAATTGGGATGAGTCATGGCGGGATAACGGGATTTGAAGTAAAAAGCGGTCGGGATAGCGGGATTTCGGAACCCGGTACAGGCACCTCACCTATCTGTTGTACCTTTTAGGAACGCAATTTTCAGAGGAATTATTGCAACGGAGAGATGTTGTTTCGCTCAGCTTCTGAAAGTTGTACATGTCGTATCGGATAGGTGTTTTTTCGTGCTTTTGAACTTTTCGCGTTGCTATGGAAAGCTAGCTATCCCGTAGAAATGTAAACGTAGATTTCGAATTAGAATATATATTAAAAAAAAATCGCCAGTGAAAACGGACCTTTAGATTATAGTTAGACATCAGGATAGACACTATGTACGTCGACAAAATTACCGACCTATGGTTTGACATATTATCGCCCGGAATAGTCAGTAAAAGTGATTTCATCAAGCTAACTTGAGACCATATTATTCGGCTGGTAATTTGGATTTTCATTAAAGGCCATGTAATTAAAGTCCGTAAAGTAAACAGACGCTTTTTTTTAACGAATTTTTACTACTCTTCTGGTTCGCTATGCTTGTAAATGAATACAGAGTACTAGAGATTCAATTCAAGAAAGTTCGGAGGGTGCGAAAGATTAATAACATTCCAATGGTCGGGTCCAGACCATCTCGGGAATGTAGGCCTGCGCAGAACGGACTTTACATGGTCTTTAAGACATCATGTGATTTATGGACTTTTTCGAGTGACAATATTCAAATCGAAATCGAACAGTCGAATCGTATCATTTAAACTTCAAGTGAAGTATAATACTGGGATCGAATACTTTAGAAAAGCGTAAAGAATATCTTTCTTTGATAGAGTGTCATAAAACAGTTTTTGGCCCTAACGGCATAACATTTAGTGACGTCCTAAAATACAGACATTGTATAGGAACACTAGATCTAATTATAATTATACTATATACACTAAACTACCTAAAATTAATCGTTATATAAGTATTAATTTTTCGTAAGAATTATCAGTTTAGGGAATAGTTTGCCTGGCAGAGTTGTTGAAATAACTACTTTAAACGAATTCATTAAAAGCCAACTCAAACGGTATATGAACTTACTTTAAATGTGTATTCTATCTCTAAATTTTTAAATTATGTTAACCTGAGAAGGAGTTCCTTATATAGGGTTAACCTCTGGCTGCTCCTGCAAGGCCTTTGTGTGTAAACATCATTGTACTTTGAATAAATTTATTGACTCTGATTGAAAAACACAATACTAGTATCATAGTCGGTTTTGTTTCACGATATAAAAGGCGGGTGCGGATTGGCGAACGAGGAGTGGCGGACGCGGACAGGAAATTGTCATAATTATCATTATGGATATTAATATATAATGATTCTCTGGGTTGTAAAGGTACACGCAAGCGTATAAAAGATCAAAGTATCTTCTCCACTTTCAAACGTAGACCCTTTGTCATGGAGAATTAGGCTGGTTTTTCAAGTATTTCCTACAAATTAATTAACAAAAACCAAAGTTACATATCTGGTTTGATAAATCATGGTACTGAAAGTTATTTCACTGTTTTTGTTATCCAGTGTTTTTAGTTCATCAAAATGATCTTCTCTCAGAAACTGGTTTTCTTGGTTCTAACTCTTGGTCTCCTTGCCCACTCAGTCAGTGGAGGTCCAACGGTTGGAGCAGCATGTGTTGTATCTTGTCATGCAGTGTGGGTCGCGTGTGTTGCCGGATTGTCATGGTTTTCGGGGGGACTTGCTTTTGTCCCATCAGTAGCAACATGTGGTGCAGCATATCTTGAATGTGTGGAGCTGTGCGCTGTAGTTACAGTGCTGCCAATCACACTTTGAAGTTACAAGATATCCTCGTTTTCACAACGGAAAATAATGCATTATCATAATATGTAGATCAGTATGTAGATCAGTGTGTCATAAAAAGTAAAGAGCAAAATGAAAAATAGGAATAGAGGTAAAAACTAACTTGGGTTGCACAAACACTTACTAAGAAAACTTAAAATGGACTTATGTATGTATTTGCTTTAAAGTAGGGTTGAGTCAATAATAAATGTATTGCACACATTGTGCTCTTCTTGTTTTTTCAACTGAGCTAGATATAGAATACAAGCATTCTGACCATGAAATGTTGTAGAAAGTAAGGACAACTAATCAGTACTAGCCTGCAAACAGTCTCAACAGAAACTCGTTTCCAGTACAGAATGCGAATCGGCAAACAGATTTTAAACAAAAGCTCATGCTGGCTATATGTGGATTGCCCTGAGAATATGGTGGAAACTAAAGCCTGCAGAACACGAGAGCTGCTACAAGATATGTAAATTTTTTACGCGTGTAAGTCTGCCAACAAGCCGTCAACAAGTTGTGTTCGCACTGCTTGTCCCAAGTTGTCAACAAGATTGAAACAAGCTGTTCACAATTTGTAACAACCTTGTTGGTATTATCAGACTTGTTGCAAGGTTGTTCCAACAAGTCCGATACAGTCATGATATAACAATATTGTTACAACTTTGTGTCGTCAACCTTGTGACATTCTTGTTATATCATGACTGTATCAGACTTGTTAGAACAACCTTGTAACATTCTTGTTATATCATGACTGTATCAGACTTGTTAGAACACCCACACACGGTGAGCTATCGGCTGAGATACACATGTAAAAACGCACAAGTTGTTACAGGTCTGCAAACAAGTTGTTACAAATCTGTTCACAAGCTGTCGACAAGTTGTGTTCGCACTGCTTGTTCCCAGTTGTTGTAACAAGTTTGAAACAAACTGTTAACAACTTGTAGCAAGCTTGATGGCATTATCAGACTTGTTACAAGGTTGCATTTTTAATACTGAGTTTTATGCCTCATGCAAACCTTTTCTTACGTATTAAACATGTTTATTATTTTATCAAAGCGTTCTCACTTTTAAGAAAATTTCCCTAATTGCTTAAATTAAACTGAAGAAATGCGGACCTTTTTAAAGATATTTTTAAGGAAATGAAATTTCTAAGGAATCCTTAGTTTTTATTTAACATTATTTATGCAAAAATACTTTTTAAAAACGCAGCATGTATTCGGGACATCAAAAATTGACCAACAATCTCACGACGCTGCTCAAAATTCCAATTCCGTCATGAAACAAAAATTCAGGGAACCTAGCTTTACTGAATCTCAAGAATTTTTTACCGAAAATCTAAAGAATTCTTCGCAATGGAAGTGAGAGCACTGGCTGTAATTATTAATTAGCTTAATTATCTATTAAGATCCAAGCCAGGGGGTAAGTAAAATAATAAAGTAGGGCACATCAGGGCGCATTGTACATTATTATTTTAATAAAAAAAATAATGGACTATACAGTTTTCAAGTGGTTATTCCATTGTTATATATTTACAATAGCTTTTCAGAGAAATCCCTTAAATCCAGTATATCGGAAATTTTGATACATAAGCTGATGACTGAAAAATTCATATTACTGATATAGGTTTCATTATTTCATATTACCAATATTTTCGGTGTATTGGTATGCCGAACAGCTAGATACTGGTTCCACAAGCATTCGTAGAAATAGACAATCCCCATTATAGACTAATTTTAAAACTAGGCAAGGAGATGCAAATAAATCACCACAGCTAGAAAGAGCATACTAAAATTAGTAAAATTGCAAAGTTTGGATTTGCAAATTTTGTATACTTTTGTATTGCGTGCGGAAATTGCTACCATTTTCGGCCCAAATGTGGTATAGCAATTTCCGCACGCAATACAAAAGTATACGAAATTTGCAAACTTTGCAAGGCTATATTTTCCGCATTTCACAACATTTCGCAACCAAACTTTGCAATTTTACTCATTCTAGTATGCTCTTTCCAGCTATGGTAATTTATTTGCATCTCCTTGCCTAGTTTTAAAATTAGTCTATAATGGGAATTGTCTATTGCTAAACCAAATTCTCTCCGCCATTATCGTTCTCGATATCTTGTCCATCTGATACAAAATCACCAACGTTAAGCGACATCGCCAACTTGATTGTACAAACCTCGGCGATCATCATCAGGACGGAACACAACGCAAATATCGCCGTAATCCCTTCCCCGCTGTGGGTGTCATGCAACACCAACAACACGATCGATGCAGTAATATTTAGCGGCACCCTGAACCAATTAATAATCCCAGCGTGGTGAGCCTCGGGTAGGATACGCTGCCGTAACCAATTCATGGCGGGAAAATATAACCCGCATGCAAACTCCATGAGGAGAAACGCCAAGAATGTCTTGCGCGGATGATTCGCACTCGCAAAGCACGATGCCAAATTTGACGCGAGTCCGAGAAATATTGCGACCTCTATTATGCGTATCGGTGAAATTTTCCACGAAATTGCGGCGTCGAAAATTAACCCTCCGATCATGACGCAAGCCATGAAACACGAAAACACGATTCCTAACGGTGGTTGAGCCGGGTCTAATACAGGCGTCCAAAGGAACACGAAAACAAACATTACACTTTCGAATAATGATGTCACCGCACCAATTAGCAAAATTTTTGAGTTCGTTACAATCAAACGAAGGCTCGCTATACAAGGCCCTGCCAATCTTATCGATTTCCCGCCATAATTTTCATCCCAATTGGTCAAAATTAACATCCCGGACATAATCAGAAACGGAATCGCTAGTAGAAATGGCGAGACTGGTCCAAAATTGATCCATTCCGATAAAGTATTTGCAACAACGCCAGCTGTGATGGCAATAACCCCATTAAAGAAGCTCGCTTTTGAAAACGTCACTGCGATCCATTCCATTGGGAAGTCGTGAGTTTGCGTGTGCTCGTAAACGTACCATGCTTCGAATGTGGAAAATAGAGCCGATGTCGAAATCCCACCTATAACGCGGCCTAAGATTAAAACCGCATAGTTGCTGGACGCTTTCGACAGGCAACAAAGCGAGTAAGCCAGACAGAAAAACATACATGCCTTTTTCCGGCCGCATTTATCCGCAAGGTAACCAGAGGCGGTACCGAATAAAATGCTCGAGATAAATCCGCATGCATAAATGATCGCTATTTGGGTATCAATGAAACCGTAATGCGAATATATTCGATAGAGGTAGGGACTTTGCAGCCACTCTGCAAACAAGGCTATGAAATACACACCGAAGTAGGTTCCTTGGAATTTTACGAATGATGGATTACCGATAGACTTTTCTGCGGGAGCAATTTTCAAGTGGAGTAGTACGGCTATGCCAACAAGGATCAGTAATGAGATATAAGCAATCGCCAACATGGTGTATAGGTGGTCCTTTTAACACTAAAAGAAAAACGAATAAGGGACCGGTCATAAAGTAACTGCTAGGTTGGGCTGGAGTGATTTGGGATGGGCCATGGAAAATCTTTCGGCAGTTTCGTCAATTTTTTTGGTATGTCCACCAAACAAAAACCCATGTTAATTATATATTACATAAAGATATTAATAATAAAAGTAAACAAAACTATCCAAATTATCAAATGCAAATGAAGCTATTGAAGCCAGTACTTTGTTTTATACAACAACAAGAAGTGGTCGAATCACAGCAAATACAACCAGCTGGAGAGCAGCTCAGTATCGTAATTGGTAATGATGAGTGCCGTATAACATTGTATAACGGTGTATTATAACATTGTATTTTCCCAATTTAGATTGGGTGGGTGGGTCATGAAATAAATTTGGTAAGATTAGATGGGCTTTGAAATTTTTATCTACATCCTAAGATGGGTCACCAAACTTATTGGCAAAATTTGTGGTTTACCTCCAGCCCACCCTAGCAGTTATTTTATGACCAGTCCCTAATGTTGACAGGGCTGATTTTCGAGAAGAACTACAGGTGTATATGTACCACAGAATACCACACAAATTTACATGTTCCATATCTTTTGTCAAATGCATATAACACAGCCTGTTAATAAATACTTTTTAGTATAGTTTTTCATTATTTTTTTTCTTCCTGTGGGGTCTTGGGGTTAGATTTGGCAGATTCTATTATTTTTTAAATCGGACATTCTGTGGATAAAATCCTAATGTACCACAGAATACCAGTGCGGCAATAAGTAAGGAACGGTTTATCAAATTGTACAAGGATTTGGTGTGTCATGTATTGTGATAACACTGTACAGATATTGCTAACTTAATTTAGTGGAAAGTAAATACTAAAATCACTACAGAATACCGGTGGTATGTACCACAGTATATTAGGTTTACCAATAATTTTGAAAAATTGAGTTTTTTACAGTAAATTTGATTACGCAGTGAGATATCCTGAATAGTAAAAATGTTGTATCGCTTAGAAAAACTGTTGACAAATGTAAATCATGTTGGTTTGCGAACTTATTTTCAAACTTTCTGATTTTACGGGCATCAAGCAGAAAAACAGTACCAAAAATAAGGTATTCTATTTGTTGTTTTATCCCGATTATTTTTAAGAATTTTATGAAAATATCCATTTTTCATTTTATATGACCATTGAGACTAAAACTAATATATATTCACAAAAATAAAGTATATAGCATGTTTCCTTCAAACTTTATAAGAGAAATAAAAAAAACTGGTATTCTGTTGATAAAGTGCCTAGGAGGAGTATTACAAAAAGATTTATGTTAAAATATCAATAAAATATGAAGACCGTATAATTTTATACAGAATATGATAGAATTGATTTATGATTAATGATATAATGTTCTTTCAGTACACATTAAAAATAAACATGATGCAGTCATGGATATCTGGCCAGCCTGGATGGAGGGGCATTTGACCATGTTTTTTGCCAATCTAATATATTAACGATTTCCCATAACCTATTGGAAGAACCGCCAGTACATCCGAGCCAAAAAACAATTTTTCCAAACAAATAACTTGCTTTGGTTTTAAAATTAGAATATAAGCTATTTCTAATAGCGAAATGTAAACAAGCAAAGAGAATCATACATTTAGATTCTCTTTCCATTTTATCTGCTATTGCGTCGAAGCAAGCTACTTTATATTTTGCGCTCTTCACTTCCTCGAAATGACAAACCACGCTGTTTTCAACCGGAAGTCGATTTTTGCACCACTGGTGTTCTACCCATCCCCCCCCAAGGTGGAGACTGGAGAGTAAATAAAAGTGTCACGTGACCAGCCTGAGCCAGGGTCTTCGCCATAGCCTAGCGTAGGTACAAGACCCTGGCTTGCGAGGTTGGTTTTTTGCCCGCACCGTGGGAATTTGACAATGGATTTGCTCGCACAGTGGGGAATCTGACCAAAATTTTTTTGAAAAGTCAAATTCCCGGGGGGGGGGGTCGTCCAGGGGGGGGGGGAGGGATGATCGCAGTTGGATTTGACTGGTACATTGGGCTATTCCATTTAATATCCGTACCCCCCCTGTCGAGGATCCCTGGAATTCTTCAGGGGTAAAGGGTTTTGAGCTTGGAATTCTTCAGGGGTAAAGTGTTTTGAGCCTGGAATTCTTCAGGGGTAAAGTGTTTTGAGTTTGGAATTCTTCAGGGGTAAATGGTTTTGAGCTTGGAATTCTTCAGGGGTAAAAGGTTTTGAGCTTGAAATTCTTCAGGGGTAAAGGGTTTTGAGCTTGAAATTCTTTAGGGGTGAAGGGTTTTGAGCTTGGAATTCTTCAGGGGTAAAAGGTTTTGAGCTTGGAATTCTTCAGGGGTAAAGGGTTTTGAGCTTGGAATTTTGGAATTCTTCAGGGGTAAAAGGTTTTGAGCTTGGAATTCTTCAGGGGTAAAGAGTTTTGAGCTTGGAATTTTGGAATTCTTCAGGGGTAAACAGTTTTGAGCTTGGAATTCTTCAGGGGTATGACAATGAAAAACATGTATCCTCGACAGGGGGGGTACGGATATTAAATGGAATAGCCCATTATATCACCATCATCATAATTAAGACAAACTCTGCACACAAGTTTGTCAAAGCAGATGCAGAAAGTCCCTGACATCTGTTTGCCATATCACACAAATAAATTATCACACAAACTGTATATCTTTTCTTTAGTAAATCGGACCAATATATATGATATGATCAAACGATATATTGAATAAATTGATAAAATACAAGTTTAATCATTTCTGACAGTGTTTTTGATAGATTACTCAACTTACTTTGCCTATCTTGAAACTCGTGAGTGTCTTGTGTGAATATTTGAAGAAAAATTGGACAAAATTTCACATTTCTCGAAAACACAAAGCGCCACGTTTGTTGTCTTTTGTCGCATAAATTAAAATGCCTGAAATATTTCAACTCTCCCACCCCCCTGAATTCCAAAAATAATAGGTTATTGACGGGGGGACGGTTGCTGAAAACTTTTAAGACGAAAATATTTGAAAAGAATTATTTGTTACCCCCTGATTTCCATTGGAACTCCAATATTTCACGGGGGACGGTACAAGTGTCTTTCATAATTTATCTCGATCCTATTATAGTCCAAAATTATGGTGTCCCATGTCCGCCAAAAATCAACTTTTGCATTTCACTATATGATATTTTGAGGATCATATTCATTTCATTAAAATAACAACATTGTTTTTGAAGATCACCGGTTTATTGGTTGAAAACACAACTTATTTTTTGAAGACCAACTTTTGAAGACCAACTTTTGATACCCAACCGCAATCCAATGTCTTTGTTGTTCGCGGGCTCATTTATTATGTTTTCAAAATGGAGGAAGAAGACAAACAATACTTGCTACAGGCGATTTTTGATGTGATAAATTCCATCGACCGTTTTTCACAGTCTCGAGACGCTAATGTAGACTACATAAGAGCTTATGCTGAAACTTGATTTTTTACAACGGTTGCTAGTAAATATGAATCTTGATTATTCGATATGTGCAAACGTTGGAGAGGCATATAACATTCTTTTCAATATGGAACAAATGGAATACCAATGCAGACAATAGGATATCCGAAGGGGGTAGGGGAGTTAACTTCTAATTTCCTCCGTGAGGGTGGTATGGATGTTTTCTGGAATGACCCATTGGTAAACAGAGAAAAACAGGATAATGTATTGTCCTAGAACATAGATATCCTAATATATTACACACAGTCAGGTTTTAGCAGCGCCGTAGCAAGCTCGATAATTGGGGAGGGGGGGGCTGATATTCATATATTTGTGTTCACAGACCATAAAAACAATTGATTTCTAAAGAAATAATAACACAGAACATGAATATATGAATATCAGCCCCCCCCCCAATTAGGGAACTTTAGATTTGACTACGAGTACGACTACGAGTACGAGATTTGATCGCGTGCGAGGAAATTACATAGTCGTTTTCGTTTCCATTCAAATGTTGCTTTTATAACAGTAAACCAACAACGGAGAGAAAAAGTTTCATAAACTAAATCTCCTGCAGACTAAAATCCCCTACAAAACGTGTAAACAAATCATAACATTAAAAACAGGCCAGATATTTAGTACTAATATATTATTTGCGCCGGATAAACGCTATATAAATGCTACAAATTATTTTTGGAAAACAAAAAAAAAGCCAACTTTCTTTGTTTTTTTGAAAAGTCGTCGTGAGGACTACGAGGTTTCTCCACAATTTCGTACTCAGATGGGCGACGGCTACGACTTTTTCGCGTCAGTACGGGATGGCGTAAGCATACAGCATACGTTTAGCTTGACGAATCTCGTACTCGTAGTCGTATTCGTAGTCAAATCTAAAGCTCCCTATTATCGAGCTTGCTACGGCACTGTTTATGAGTCCAAATGGTACACAGGACATTAAAAACCTGCACAAGCTTTCCCCCTGCCCCCCCCCTCCCTAAAAGTTGATGTCTGCTGCCACTGCTCGAAATATGTTCTCCTTTTGGAGGATGTGAAGGAGTGGATATTAAAGTTATAAATGTTTATGTAATCTACTCCTTCACATCTTACAAAAGGAGAAAATCGCAACTAAAATTGCATGTAATGTTAGAAAATGGAGGGGTATTCTGCAATCTAACCTGATCACAAGTAAAATATTATACGAGCCGCCAACACCAAGTCATAAAGTACTATTTAAAGCACGCGTAGGAGTGTTTTATGACATATAAAACACGACGCGTAGCGGAGTGATTTATATGTGATAAAACACGACTACAAGTGCTTTAAATGGCTTCAAAAACGATTCATCTTATACGAGTTGAGTTCATTGGCAAAGTAATTTTTAAAATAAACTTTATCTAAACCGAGAAAATCAAAGCTAAAGTTTATGTAAATTAACATGATTTTTTATGACATATAAAACCACGACACGCTTATGATTTTTCTCTGTGTTTTCCTCCTGAATTATTAATGATTTTTGAATCATAATTAACTATTAATACATGTCATGTACATTGTACAGTATATGAATAATTCATATTCTTGAATTTACATCGGCCTGCACAAAATGGATAAGGAAAATAAGACAATGAATATATAAAAAGTTTAGTTACTCAGACAGAGATGATTTTAGCGGAAAATCACAATATGAGCCCGCGAACAACAAAGACATTGGATTGCGGTTGGGTATCAAAAGTTGGTCTTCAAAAGTTGGTCTTCAAAAGTTGGTCTTCAAAAGTTGGTCTTCAAAAGTTGGTCTTCAAAAGTTGGTCTTCAAAAGTTGGTCTTCAAAAGTTGGTCTTCAAAAAATAAGTTGTGTTTTCAACCGATAAACCGGTGATCTTCAAAAACAATGTTGTTATTTTAATGAAATGAATATGATCCTCAAAATATCATATAGTGAAATGCAAAAGTTGATTTTTGGCGGACATGGGACACCATACACGAAAAATGCGATAGTCTGTAACGACTTTTCTTGTGTTCCGAGATCACTCTGTTGTAAGCAACCAATGCTACAAGAGAGTGGTATTGTAGAGTCCTTCAGATCTAACATCGATGACAAAAATCTTGATAAGAGAAGCCTTTATTGCTTTAACTTTTTCAAGAAGGTTGATTTATAGGGCCTTCCGAAAACAATCCTGTTTCTATCATCGGAATCCGGTTATCTAGACTATAACCCTTTGAGAACAGATATAGTCTCCGTGAATTTATCAGTGTGACAAATGTCGCACCCTTGACTATGGACCTGTGACCACCATCTGTTGCATCTGGTAGAACTTGCTATTATATAACCTATACCTTTATACGAGTCAAACAATCAGATGAGATTTTGATAGAATTTTGTTAAATACAATACTTGATATTAATTTGTATGGCATTTTTTCCAGGAAAACGGCCAGGGAAACGGAAAGCGAAAGTTGCTTATACAGCAGCTTTTCTTCGGTTTCTCTTTGGACTTTGCCGTTGTCAAAACCTGAGCGAATAACCAAATTTTTGTTGTTACAGCTTTCAAACGAGCTAAGGCACTGTATTCCTATTGACAACGTTAAACTGTAGTTTAAATACTGGCACCGCTTTCTCGTGAATTCAGCGAATCTTCTATTGCTTTTGCGGAACGATGATTCAAAACGTGTTCAAAGTTAGCCAAGCGTAAGATGCCAAACACGAAAGTAGCAAATATAAACATTAAAGATCATTTACCTTAATTTTAAATATGATAAACATCATTTTACTATATAGATTTGATTGAAAAGTAATTGTTCACACTTTAAATAAGTACATAAAACACATTTATTTAGTATCCGAACAAAGTATAAAAGCCAATGCAACATAAACTACGTCTCTATGAAATCTTTACATTTCATCACGAGTTGCTGTTCATTCTGCTGGTATTTAATGTCATGGCTGTTTGGGCTGTTCCCAATTATTTATTTTGACGGTTGTTTCTATAGACGGCATTACGTATGACCGTTTCAATTTCTTCCTGCGAGTGTCTTGATGAACCCTCGAACCAATCTGTAGCTCTTCCTCGCGAACTATCTTTCTTCAGACCAAGTTTCTTCACTGCTTCTTGGGCTGCTGTTTCAGCATCACGCATCTTATTCGCTTTCACAGATCTAAGTAGCTTGATATTTTTGTTTCTTTCGGTTTTTTGTATTTCTCTTAAACGTTTTGTTGGATCGTCAGAGCAACCAATTTTATAATTCCCCTTTCGTCTTGCCTTCTGACGCATAAGATACACGCGACCTTCGCCATTCCATCGTCCAGCTCCGCCACCTATCTGATTGATATTAGTATGTCGTGATCGTGGCATGACCAAATCGACAACCAGTATCCTCTGCTACCAAAAGCTTAAAGTGGAAGTCAAGTCCGTTCTGCGCATTATTTCTGCGCATATTGTGAGGGCCCTCGCCATTGGAATGTTAATTGAACAGCGCATGCGCATTTCGTGTATTCTTATCTGATTATATATTCAAGTTTCAAAGCAACATGGAGGAAGGCGAGAGCTCGTCCAGAAGTGTTGATAGGGACGAAATTGAGAGCTTTCACGTAGTTACTACCGAAGATAAAAAGGTAAAACGAAAGGGATACCTGGCCAAAAGGGACGCGACAAAGATTTGTCTTTATGATGAGCAATTTACGCGGTGGCGGCAGCTAAAAAATGATTTAAATGTGAAGACGGACAAGGAACTAGCGACCTTGCTTCTTGATAATTATTCGAGCACGAAGCAAGTTTTAACGACAAGGTAGGAAAGATATATTGTATTTATAGAATAATTCAAAATTGGATTAAATAGTGGTTATATCTCCTTTTATAAATCTTGTAGCGAATCGGAAACGCAAACAGATGAAAGTCATCAGGTCACAATGGAAACTCTATTGTCCGAATCTCCAGGTAAATTTTGTGATATAACAGCTGTGTATTTGTTTTTGAATGTTACAGTAATTACGACTAAAGTTTGTATTATATTTATGTTTTTATAGTTCTAACTTCAACGCCAAAGGAAGGAATACATCGAACTGAGCGTCCTCTTTCCACTCCAAAACGTAGACGATTGTCAATGACAAATATGGAGACGAAACATGGTACTCAAACGTCTGCTGAATCTTTCTCTATGAGGTACGTGGTATTTGAATTTGTGTTTTACTCGAATGAATAAGACTCGTATGGATAAGATTTCATAAATGACTAGATATTTGATATCTTTTTATTTTTCACCATTTCCTGTGAATGTGATTTCGCAGACATGCATTTGATATCATACAGCTGTATATAACTTCTTGAGTCATTTGATATTTGTTTAAATATTTGATGCTTGACACGTTGACAATGCCACACTCAATAACTTGATTGATATTTATGATGTTACTCTGAGTGACAAATTTGAAAAATATGCCTGGCAATGGTGTGAATTAAACCTAAATCCAAATGCCCTGCCAACTGATATACATGGTCATGTCGGTTTGAGTATGTGATATTTCAGGACTGAATCAAGTTCCTTCAAATTCGACCTGACTGCATAGCTCAGTTGCCAGAGCATAGTATTGCATAGGTTCAATTCCCATGGCCTGGTATATTTTTCAAGCTTGCCCAGTGTGTATACAGATCATATTCATCTGAGTACATGGCACCAACATAGAAAAAACCATTAATGAGCACATGAGTCATTATTAACCCCCACCCACCCGGTGGAAAGGTGGGGATTTGTTTTTGGCCACCTTCATCAAATAGGCAAAAGCCCCCATACCAGGGAACTACTTTCTCATAAAAATTGTAAAAACCCTCTTATAGTGTACTTATGACAATTTTCCTCTTTCCATGTGTTTTCTGTTGCCTTGGTTTTGTAGTGTATAACCATTGACCATATATATGCATTGTACATTCCCCTACCCATGGGGGCAAATAACATGCAAAACGTTTTAAATGCCCAGCGTAATAGGCCAACAAATTAATAGTATCCCATGTTAACCGCACTGTGGGCTGGGTTTAACATTTACTCATGCATAAAGAGTTTTGGCATTTAAGGAAACTTAGCCCAAGCAGATTTTGGATTTATTTATGCATGTTTTAAATTAGAACTCAACAGTTTCTGTATCAATAAATTCTGTATCAACAGTTTCTGTATTCAATATAAAGATAGACTACATGGAAAATATAGATAAAACTTCAAGCTGAAATATTCTCTATATTTTCCGATATTCACACAAATGAATCTACCTATATGTTTTAAAAACCTGGTATTTCATAGTTTTTTTACCAGTTTAACTCTTTGTAAAATTTTGAAATACCACATACTTGCAGGTACATGATGCATTAGAAATGCATATACTTATGTTTTAAAATATCAATATTTATAACATAGGACTAGTTTGAGTACTGGTAACTTAGAGAAAACCCTGACAGCCAGTGAATCAGATGGCAGTGATACTGAGCATTCAGATGCCTTTAGGTAAGTGTTACATAATGAGCTGCAGTTGACTTTTATATGTTGTAGGACTGTTCGGTATACCGATATACTAAAAATATCGGTATCAAATCAATATTGGTATATCGA